ATGGGGACTGAGCTAAACAGTGGAAAACACTTCTCATTTTTTCCCACAGGCCCAAACATGCTCTGCAAATAGCCACACATGGAGTTTATTAAAATAATGATAACAGCTACCATTTATTGAGTGCTTGCTGTGTGCCGGGCACTATACTATATGCTTTACATAGGTTACTTGCCCAAGGTCCTATAGCTTAAATGGCAAATCCAGAATTTAATCCCAGAACTATCTGACTCTATCCACTCTTCCCAATGAAAAAAAAAAAAAAGCTATTTCTAGATTTGGGCTTAGAGGTTAGGGGGAAGAAAGGAGAAAGGTGAGGGGAAGAGACAATGTTTCTAGCTTCTTGATCTAGCTTCTCATCAATAGGAGCATCATTGCTAGGGGTGTACTGTCCCATAGCCACAGGTGGCTACTTAAATTAATTAAATTTAAATAAAAGTTAAAATTCAGTTCCTCAGCCACAACAGCCACATTTTAAGTGCTTAACAGCCACATGTGGCTAGTGGCTATGGTATTGGACAGTACAGGTATAGAACATTTTCATCACCACAAACAGTTCTCTGTTGGATAGCGCTGGTGTAGGACACCTTCCCCTCCAAATCCGAGCAACCAAGAGCATTCTCTCTTCAGCCTAAGGGATAGCCTAAGGGATACCATTCACTTCCCTCTCTTCACAGCCTCTGCCATGATCCAGGAAGAGAGCAGTGATATGTGAGAACATACTATTTTTGGCCCCAACACTTCTCCTGCCAAAAGGTCAAAGATATTTCTTTACAAAACTCAAACCACTTTAAGAAGATAATAAAAGGTTTCAGAAGCATCTCCCTTGCCTGCCAGTTCTCTCTGCTAAGTCCCTGCTGAGCTGTCTCTTTGGGTCAGTGCATTCTCTCACTTCTGCAGGCCACTCCGCATCAGGCTGCTCCCCACGGCAGCTGAGCCCAGCAACTCCTGCAGCTGGGTGGTGGGCTGCCAAGCCCTCCCAAGGAGGCTGACTGCCTTGCTGGCAACTTGAATCTTATGTGGCTTGATGCTGTGGTTTCAATGTGTGTCCCTGCCAAAGCTCATGTTGGAACTTAATCCTCAATAAGGTATTTGAAAGGCAAGGCCTTTAAGAGATGATTGGATCATGAGGACTATGCTGTCATGGATTCATCCATTCATAGATTAATGGGTTAATAGTTTAATGGGTTATCAGGGTGTAGACTGGGGGCTTTATAAGGAGAGGAAGAAAGCATATGGGCACATTTTTCCTCAGTCTCTTGCCCTGTGACACCCTGCATCACTACAGGACTCCCCACCAAGAAGCCCTCACCAGATGTGCTCCCTGGACCTTGGACTTCACAACCTCCAAAACTGTAAGGAATTAATTCTGTTTTCTATAAATTACCCAATTTCAGGTATTGTTATCAGTGACAGAAAATGGACTAATACACTTGCCAAATGACAACCATTTTCCAAGTATCTGAGTTATTTTTCTTAGCTCCCAGCCTGCTCCTAAGAAAGGAACACAAGGTCGATGAAGGCAGTCCCAGGAACCCCAGCTCCACCAAGCTCATCTGGCTTGACCAAGGGTCCCCACAGTAGACCTGCACTTACCTGGCTGAGGACAGGATATAAATCCTTTAAGAACTTGATTTATTTGCTCATAGCTGCTTTTTGTTACCCTATGCAACCCCTTATTCTCAGCATGCTTCGGAGTATTTTGGATTGTAAACCACTAGGATAGCAACTCTGACCTTATCGTTGATTTTATGACACGCCTCTTCCAAAATATACTCTGACCCAGTTTTATCATTTTAAAATGAAAGGGAATGAAAATTGAAGTTGATAATGCCACACCACCCTTGGAGAAGGTTGCAATGGTGGCAAAGGAAACAGCTTAGGCTAACAGGAGGCCTGGGACCTGCCATCAATTAGCAACATTACCTGGTGAACAAGTCACACTTTCCCAACACCCTTTTCAAACTGTGCATCAAATGGTGATATCGCTGCCCTGCCTAAATCACTGACTCATGGTGAAACTAAATGAGATAATAAATAAGAAAGCCTTGCTAAGAGAGCTAGGACTGGGAATGATTTGTTCAAGAGCTGACCATACAGATTGTTCCAAGCCATGTGTGTAAAGTGATTTTCCATGAAGGTCCATGAGCTCTTCCAGGGTAGGAACTGTGTCTTATTCATTGAAGCATCCCAGAAGTCTAGCATGATTCCTGGCACACAGTAGGTTTGTTGAGTGAACCAGTGCTGTGCCATCCCCTGACCTGGTCAATGGGGCATACACCTCAGTAAGTCTTTGCTCTGAGGGATTTGGCCCTGACCACCTATGACCCAAAACACCCATTTGTAAGAGGGTCGGTCACCTGGGAAAAGTAAACAGGCATGCTCATGAATTTGCACAGGTAGGAGGAGGGAGCTACAATTAGGCTTCATTAACCCAGATTAAAGAAATAATCAAAATGAAGCAGGTTTTCCAAAACTCACTGCCTTGGGATGTCTCATGAATTCGGTGTTGACATCTTGTTCTTAAGATAATGTATGTGGTTAGAACTGCTGATTTATTGATTTACATATAAGCTGCTGGTTCTGAATGAGACATTTAGATATCAAGAATAGCTGAGGCACGAAGCTTCTGCTTCAGGTTGCACAGACACTTCTGGCTCCCATGTTGTTATCAGTAACCAATGACTGTGACTCTTGTGTTCCATGAGAAAAGGAAAACTGTACTTGGAGCTCTGCCCCTCCCTTTTGAGACTCCTTTATAAAATGCCTTTGCTTGTAGAAGACTTCAGAGCACTTCCCAACTCTGTCGGCTTGTGTTTCCCAGGTCACCCTCAAGCTTACTTTCAAAAAACCTTTATAAAATTATTTGTGCCTCTACAGCCTTGATATTGGTCCACAACCCCAAGTCCTACCAACAGAGCTCTTTGATTGAGTTGATCATAGGCCATTTATGGAACACATATTATTGTAAAGATACTCCTGCTGGACTGATCTTTTCTGTACCTGCCTGCACTACCCCCTCAGGCACCTGACTCTACAGGGCTGCAGTGTTTCTGCAGGTCCGCCCTTGCAGGCAGTGGCTCTCTATCCCAGGAATGAACGATGGTACTTGGGGATGCCTTCCTGGAGTAGGTGGATTTGCTCGAATTGGTTTCAGGACTTGCTAAGTGGCAACAAGGAAGAAACAAATGACTCCAGAGCCTCCCCAATGGTTAAAGAAGGTTTTGATGAGATGCAGGGCATTCAGACTCCCGGGGTACGGCAGGCTGGGGGAGGAGTGGCAGGAGAGGAGCAGGGCATGAGGGGACAGGAGTGCCCAAGGCTAGTGTGGGTCACAGAGGGTACCCAGGAAAACCCTTCTGGTCTGGTTTCCTGTTGGTCCTGAGAGCTGAACGCCCAGGTGGGTGTTAACCCCGGTACACTGCACCCAGTGCGAGACTTCACAGAACATGGCTTGTGATTAAAGAATTGGGCCAGGAATCCACAGCCCTGGCTGAGCACTAACCATCACGGGTATGTTAACCACGTAAGCTGGAGTAGCCCTCCTTGTCCTCATCACCTCCATGTCTTTTTGTCACACAACAACAACTAGGGCTTTTCCCAGATTAAGAGAATTAAAGAGGGGTGACCAGAAGCCAGGTTGAACCACAGCAGCTCCCAGAGAAGGTAACTCTTCTGTGTGTTAAGAGAGGGATCCGGGCCCCGGGGAAGCCAGTGGGTGCAGTTCTTCCTCCTCCAGAGCCATGCTGGGATCCCCTCCTTCCTCCCGCCTCCTAGCTATCCAGCCCTGGCACACCAGCACCGACCCCCATCCTCGGCAATTCCCTCCTCCGAGGTTACAGCCGGGTTCTTCTGTCAGCACCAGGGCCTCAGCCAACCCTGTTTTTTGGAAGGACACGAGAGGCAACCTCTGGGGGGCTAGAGACCGAGGTGGGTATGTGTGAAGAAACCCTAAATTGACTCGAAGGAGAGGGAAAGAGAAAACTGTCCTCCACCTGCCACCCCCACCCCCAGCAAGAACTGGCGACGGGAGTTGCTGTGCTCCTGGCAAAAGCTCCCCGTCCTGGTCCTGGGGCAAACGGATCCCTCAGAGCATAGACAGACTGGGCTTCAGCAAGGATGGGCCAGAAAGGACAACGAGACCATGTGGAAGATTCAATCTTTCATTTTCTTTTCTGCAACACTGGGATTGATAAGGATCCAAGCCAGTCGAGTCAGCCCACTTCGGGTGCACCCCAGGCCAGTGAGTAGGAGCAGCACACTTGGCTCTTTCCTTCTGCAGCCACCTCCCCAAGCGACCAGACCTCAGCTGAGACCACCCGCTTGTGCCCAGGCCCTAACCATCACACACATACCCGTTCTAGGATCACACCTGCCACACACAGCAGCCTGGGCAGTGGAGTACTCAGGGTTGGAGGACCATCAAACCATTCATTTCTTCCAAAAATACAAATTGAAAGGCCATGAAGTGCTGGCACTGTCCCTGGTGCTGGGGATACACTTGCACCTCCCTGGACACAGCCTCTGGCTTCCATCCTCAGTTATCTGTGAGTCTGCTGTGACTCTACCATAGGGACAGCCCATGGCCATCCTGCAGCCTGAGTGTGACAGGCTGGTACTGCAGCTGACCAGTCCAGACCTGGGCCATTCCACACCAGGAGCCTCTCCCAGAGTCCCCAACAGCTCCCTCACTCCATGCCTGAGGCCTGGAGTCCCACCTCTCAGGATGTATAAACACGGTACCCTGCCATCACTGACACATCCAAGCTCCGGGGTGAGGATGTCGATCTTATCTCCTCCGTCCATCCCCTTAGCACGACCTGCGCCCTTTTCTGGGCACCCTTTGGGATGTTTCTGGAATTCTGTTCTCAGGCCTTCAGAGCCTTAAGGAAACCGCCTTTTGATGCGATCTCACCCAGGGAAAGGAGGGTCTAAGAGCCAGCGTTCCTGGGCATCCCCATTCCCTACACGCACCACGCAAACATCACCCACCACCACCATGGGTCTGCGTGGGTCCTAGTGCACTAGAGCGCCCCCTCCTTGGGGCTAGGCGCCAGGGCCCCTCGGTGCACGCGCTGGTGCTTGAGCAGGTGCTGCTTCTGGCTGAAGCCGCGGCCACAGGCGGCGCACAGGTAGGGCCGCTCGCCGGTGTGGTTGCGGCGGTGCCGCGTGAGGTTGGGCTTCTGGCTGAAGCGGCGGCCGCACTCGGGGCACGCGTACGGCCGCTCGCCCGTGTGGATGCGCTGGTGGATGGTGAGCGCGGACCACCACGAGAAGCTCTTGCCGCACTCGTTGCAGATGAACTGGCGCGGCTCGCCCGGCCCGGCTAGGCCCCCGCGCCCCCGGCCCCACAGCACGCCCCCC